TCAGAAGTCAGACCAGTTGAAGTCCCCTGCTCCTTCGTGTTTCTTCTCTGTGTGTGTGACTTCAGTCAAGTCCCTAAACCTCTCTCAGGTTCCTCGTGGACACCAGACTAGAGGAAGTTCCTATCTACTCAAGTCCCTGCATGGGGTGGGGCGGAGCAGGGGGTCGTCCGTGTGCCCACCCTCCCTGGCATCCTCCCTAGGGCTGGCCGTTCTGCGGAGCACAGAGCCTCTGGCCCTGGGCCGCTGGCACCGTGTGTCTGCCGAGCGCCTCAACAAGGACGGCAGCCTGCGCGTGGATGGCGGACGCCCTGTGCTGCGCTCCTCGCCAGGCAAGAGCCAAGGCCTCAACCTACACACCCTCCTCTACCTCGGTGGCGTGGAGCCCTCCGTGCAGCTGTCCCCGGCCACCAACATTAGCACTCATTTCCGGGGCTGCATAGGCGAGGTGAGGAGCAGTTTGCGGAGGACAGGTCGGAGGGGAGGGGGCGAAGACCAGGCCCCCCACCTACAGCTCACTGAAGGCTCTTGGGACCAGAAACTTCACCTTCAAGTCTCAGTGTCTTCCTCTGTAAAATGGGATCATTGCACCTAACTTGAAGGGTTGTGCTGAGGGTTGACGGCACTGATGGAGTTGGTGGCGCACAGTAGGCAGGCTTTCTTGTTCCTTCCCCCTCCTCCCCCAGAGTCCCATGTTACCACTCAAGTTCCAACGTGGGTTCCCAGCTACCTCTGCTACATTCCTGTCTCTGCTGGTCCAGCGAAGCCCCTGCCCCCTGTGTCCCTTCAGTTCTTCAGTGTGCCTATGCCCACAGGTGTCAGTGAATGGGAAGCGGCTAGACCTCACCTACAGCTTCCTGGGCAGTCGGGGCGTCGGGCAGTGCTATGACAGCTCCCCGTGTGAGGGCCAGCCTTGCCAGAACGGCGCCACATGCTTTCCTGCTGGCGAGTATGAGTTTCAGTGCCTGTGTCGAGACGGCTTCAAAGGTGTGTGTGAGGCTGCCCGGGTGCTGGGAGGGGACGGGGCGCAGGGCGGTCAGCAGCAACTCCGGCCCTTGCCTGCTCACCTCCGCCACGACCCGCAGGAGACCTCTGTGAGCATGAGGAGAACCCCTGTCGGCTCCAGGAGCCCTGTCTGCATGGGGGCACCTGCCAGGGCACCCGCTGCCTCTGTCCCCCCGGCTTCTCTGGCCCACGCTGCCAGCAAGGTGACTGCCCTGGCTTCTCTCCACCTCCTTTTCGGGGCCCTGGGGCTGGAAGGAGTACCCCTGGCTGTCTGTGCCCACTGACTGGACCCTGCCTTTCTCCATAGGCTCTGGACATGGCACGGCAGAGTCCGATTGGCATCTCGAAGGCAGCGGGGGCAACGGTGCGTATTTGCTGTGGCCAGCCAGAGGAGCTGAGCGGGCTTGTCTCCTCCCCGGCGGCGCGTCTGTCAGCCGCCTTGTCCAGTTACCCCGCGCCCTTAATCCTGGCCTCTAAGCGGAACAGGCCCATGTGAGAGGCTCCTGGGGCACTTATAGACAGAATAATGAAGAGCAAAGCCACGCAGAGCTGGGCCCTACTGTACACTTACTGGCTAGGTGACCTCGGGCAGGCCTTTGTACCACTCTGATCTCGGTTTCTTCCTCTGCATTCATGCAATCTGTCAACATGCATCTATTGTGTGGCCATCCTTGTCCCCGGGGCAGTGAATATAAGAGGAATAAGACAGGACCTTCTTTCTCATGGATTCCAGAATCTATTTAAAAGCAATGATAATAATTAAAAAAATGAATGTTCATTGATCATTCACAGGCACTGTGCTGTTTTATAGATATTATCTTCTTCTTTATCACAAATGTAATAGGAGAGCTAGTGGTATAGTGGGTAAGAGCATGGACTCCCAAGCCAGCCTGCCTGGCTTCAAATCCTAGCCCTGACACTTGGTTGCTGTGTGACTTTGAGTGAGTCACTTAACCTCTCTGTGCTTCAATTTCTTTATGCATACAATGGAGAGAAGGAACATCCTTCCACAAGGCTTTGGATAAAATTTTGTGTAGCAGTAAAATGATTTAATATGTTTAAAATGCTTAGAACAATTTCTGGTCCAGAGTGGGTATATCATGTTAGTTTTTGTTAATATTATATGTAAGTCATAGAATTATTATAAGGATCCAGTTAAATGAAGTGGTATTTATAGGTGGACGTGAAACTCCTTGCACAATGATTAGCACCTCATTTGGTAGAAGGTAGCAAAGTATCTTTGACTATTGTAGCGGCCAGGGCCACAGGGGCCTGCGTCAGCCTCTGGGATGGGTCTGAGCAGGTAGGGCTGGGGATGTTGGGGTCACACACAATATGGACATTGGAGCCAAAAGGCCCAGGTTGCCATCCAGGCTTCCCAGTTCCTGGGCAAGTTACTCACCCTCCCCTCCCCCAATACTATCTTCCCATCTGGGAGATGGAAGGAACACAAATGTTCTGAACCTTTCAGGTGCCATGGACTTAGGTGACCAACTGTCCCATTTTCCTCAGGGCTAAGGGTTTTTTTTTGGGATATGGGACTTGCAAAGCTAAAGCCCGGACAAGGACTTAGCAAATAGGAGTGGTTGCTCACCCTACCTAGACCTATTGATTGTGTTTAAAAAAAAAAAAAAAATGCATAGGAAACCAATTATACTGAAATAAGATTACCAAAATATTTTAAATTTTCTCACTTGTAACCTATGCACTTCTTTATCAACACATTAAGTAACAAGATCTAGTGCTGGTCCTAATAGCTAACACAATGCCAATAAGTGTAAACAACGTTTTGAGATATTTTCACCTACTGTAACTCATACAGGAAATCTTTTAGTGAGAAAATCACAGGTCCTCCTGCTACTCCTTTAGTTTGTTGCCTACATGCATAATGAAAGGAACTGCTAAATTTTAGCGAGATGTGAGCGAACATAGAGTTGTAACGTTTTCCTGTCCAAGTTCACAGGCCCCTGAATTCCATCCACAGCCCCTTGGGTCTTCTGGGGCTACAGATTCAGGGCCCCCTGGATGTACATGTCGGGGTGGAGGTGGGGTCGGGGAGCCGATGCCAGGTGGATACTCCGACCAGGTGAGCAGCTGGCTCATATCCCCCGTTTCTCCCACAGATGCCCCCGGACAGTATGGAGCCTATTTCCACGATGATGGCTTCCTAGCCCTCCCCGGACACTTCTTCACCAGGAGGTGAGATGGGTGTCGGCAGAGCCTGGGGCCGGGAAGGGAAGAGGCTGCAGGGAGGAGAATGGGAATCTGGGACTTCTGACCCCTCACCTGCTGCCCACTGTGCCCCCAGCTTGCCTGAGGTGCCTGAGACCATCCAGCTGGAAGTTCGGACCCGCACAGCCAGTGGCCTCCTGCTCTGGCAGGGCATGGTGAGTGTGGGCATCTGGCCCAGGGTCTTAGTGTTCCTGGCCCTCTGGGGGCCAGGGCAGCGGGGAAGAAAAAGGCAGAGGCCGGAGCCAGCAGGGGCCTAGGCTCTCCAGGCTGGGGGACCCCAGAGACCCTGTGCTTCCCTGCAGGAGATGGGAAAGACCAGCCAAGGGAAGGACTTCATCAGTCTCGGGCTTCAGGATGGGCACCTTGTCTTCAGGTGGGTCCTCTCCCTTCCCTGGGCCCCTCCACCCCCTCAGTGGCTTCCTCTCTGGTCAGCCCCATGGCTCCTCCCACAAGAAGCTGCAGCTCCCAGTGTCCCAGCGATGCACTGCCTCTACCCCCCACACCCTGCCCCTGTCCTGCCCCACCTCACGCCTGCCTGGGCCTGTGTGCCTGCAGCTACCAGCTGGGCAGTGGGGAGGCCCGCCTGGTCTCTGAGGATCCCATCAACGACGGCGAGTGGCATCGGGTGACGGCGCTGCGGTAAGGGAGCCCCCCGGGGCCCTAGGGCGAGGAGCCCCACTTGGGAGGCAGGCTTTGGGCTCTGGGGAGACAGCTTGAAGCTGGGGTCAGGGAGCGCCAAGCACAGGCTTCCAGAGCAGGGCAGAACTCCGTGGTGGTGGGCGGACAAGCTCCCTATGGGTCGATGAAAGCGGGGAGGGTGCTGGGAAGCTGTGTAGGGGGTGCCGATCTCTCTCATCCAGTGGGGAAGGCAGGACTTTGGGAGCAGACTCCTCTGGAGTCTTGTGGAAAAGGGAGGGGACTCTCCTTGGGTCAGAGAGCACAGGGAACTGGTAATGTAGGGCCTGACCCAGTTCCACCCACCACAGAGAGGGCCGGAGAGGCTCCATCCAAGTGGATGGTGAGGAGCTGGTCAGCGGCCAGTCCCCAGGCCCGAATGTGGCGGTCAACACCAAGGCCAGCATCTACATTGGTAAGTCCTGGGCTCAGGCCCGGGTGCAGGGATGGAGCTCCTGCAGACCTCCAGCACGTGTCTCCCTCTCCCCCGGGGCCCCTGGAGCTGACGGGTCCTGTCCTCCCCGCTCCCTGCAGGCGGAGCCCCCAGTGTGGCCACGCTGACCGGGCGCAGGTTCTCCTCAGGCATCACGGGCTGTCTCAGGAACCTGGTGCTGCACTCTGCCCAGCCGGGCGGCCCTCCCCCGCAGCCACTGGACCTGCAGCACGGAGCCCAGGCGGGGGCCAACACGCGCCCCTGCCCCTCGTAGGCAGCCGCCTGCCCCGCAGGGACTCCTGGGCAGCGTTCCAGCCCCACAACGTCGAGTCTATTATTATTAATATTATTATTATGAATATTTTGTAAGAAACTGAGGCGATGCCACGCTTTGCTGCTACTGCCCTGGGCTGGACTGGAGGGTGGGCCTGTCACCCCCCGCGTGAGCACACCTGGGCGAAGCCACAGGCTGAGGAGCAAGGCAGGTTGGATGGGAGCAGGTGCCTCAGAGGGGCAGGCATGTGGCTGAGCGGGCTCAGAAGTGCCTCCGCCAGCAGAGCCCCATGGCAGAACCGGGCCGCCCGTCCCTGCAGCCCTCGGGCAGCCCTTGTCCCTACAAGAACCAGCCTCGGTGTACAGCCTGGGTCCTCACCAGCCACTAGGAGCAGAGGGCGTCGCAGTGGCCTTTGCCACCCTCCTCTGGGTAGCAAAAGCTCTTTAGTGCCAACTGTGGAGCAAAAGGCAGCTCACCCCTGGACAGGCAGCCCCTGCCCCCGTTAGCCCATGTCCCGGCCCCCTCCACCTTCACCTCCCCCTGGCCAGCTGGTCTGCATCCCCCGCCCCGCCCCCACGCCCCGTCTGGCTGCAACTGCTGGCCCAGGGTGCCTGCCCTCAGGGGCTACAAGGGAAACTCCACCCCAGCTCTTCCCAGGAGCTGCTACAGGCAGAGCCCAGCACTGAGAGGGTCTCCTCGCCCACACCAGGCCACATCCCCCACTGACCTGGAAGTGAAGACCCAGGAGATATGGGGGGAGGAGGCATTGGTGGTTGGAAAGAGCTAGTGCCTTGAGTGGGGGAAGCTAGGACTCAGGATGGAGGGACAGGAAGGGGCCATGACAGCCCTACCCCCTCATTGGGAACCTGAGGGCCCAAGTGAAGGCAAGCGCCCTCCCCACCAGCAGTCCCCCAGATGTTGGGTTGGGACGCCTGACCTCTGTGTCCTACAAGGGACCCTCCTGTGGTCTTTGTCTTGATCTTTTCTTAATAAACGGTGCTATCCCTGCCAGGGCGGTCCCCTGTGTCTTTGACTAGGGCTTGGCTCTGTGGACCCTGAGGGTGGGCCAGAGAGGCCGAGCAGGGCAATGAGGTCTGGGGGTGAATCAAGACAGCCTCAGGTGGGCAAGGCCCCTGCTCCCCGCCCTGGCCACGGAGGTCCCACCCTTCACTGATGCAGCAGAGCACCGGCCACCACACGAGCTACAGGGCCATTCACCTCCTGGGGCCTTCCCCATAGCCCTGCGAGGCAGGAATTGTCCCATTTTCCAGAGGCGCAGACTGAGTCTCAGAGGGTTATGTGACCTGCCCGGGGCCAGACAGCCCTCTAGGGGATGGGGGCTCTGTCCAACCTCAGAGTCCGCCCTCCTTCCTCTGAAGCCACAGTCTCTCTACAGATGGCCTCCCTGACTTGGAAGGCCGGCCTGCTCGGCTGCAGCCCCGCAGGGGCCACCTCGCCAGGGCACATGTGGCAGATAGTGCAGCTAAGGCAGAGGCCAAGAGCACCGGGGTGCCAGGCCAGCCGGCTGGAGGAGCAGCAGCGCCAGAGGAGGCCAGTGAGGAGGCCAGCGGAGGCTAGGAGCAGCGAGGAGGCCAATGCCACCTTCTGCAACCAGGGACCTGCGGAAGGAAAGGGAGAGGCCACTCAGGCCTCAGCCTGGGCCTGCTGCCCCGTCCCCATCACCTGGAAAGGGACGAGTGATCTTGGTGGGAGGAGCGGGAGCAGAGGGAAGGAGAGCCGCCTACCTTCCGGAGCTGCATCCTGCCGTGCCGGGCCGTGGCCTGCTGGGCGTCCACTCTGGGCTGCAATCTGGAGGGGGCCTGCCCAGCCAAGAGCTGCGGAGACAGTCGGGGGCTTGGAGGTATCATCCGTACTCCCTCCTGGCCAGGCATCAGAGAGGCACCTGCGGTGGGAAACAGCAGCGCTAACACAGAGAACAGCCCCTTCTAAGGCATGGCTATATCTCACTTACTCCTCCCCAAGCCTCCCTGAGTTTGTTAAAATTAGTATTTCCATTTTATAGATCATGGAAGTGAGGTTAAGTCGCTTGCCCAGGTCCACAGCTGGAAGTGATAGAGGACTTGAACTCATGCAGTCTAGTTCCAGGGCCTGGAGTTGATGAATGGAGCTACTTCTCAGGAGGGAGGAGGTGCATGTATTGAGTGTTCTCTGTGCTGGGCCGTTTACCTACCATATTTCTCTTAAACCTTATAGCAACTCTGGAAAGTTAGGCTTATCACCTATTTTACAGATAAGGAAGCTGAGGCATAGACAGGTTCATTCTTCCACTCATTTGACTCATATTTCTCTGGCTTCTACTGTACCCCAGGCATTGCTCTAGGGACCGAGGGATACAACAGGGAGCAAAATAAACAAAAAATACTTCATGAAACTGGAGATGTGGAAATGTGAGAAGACACAAAACAAATTATGTCATGTCACATGGAGATATAATTAAGCAGGGAAAAGGGACGAGGCATGTTGGCTAGGGGGAAGGTTTCTTTTTATTTTATTGCTGAGAAATATACCGCAATCAACCATTAACCATTTTTAAGTGTACAGTTCCGTGGCATTGAGCACCTTCGCATCGTTGCACAGCCATCACCAACATCTGTCCCCAGAACTCTTCATCTTGCAAAACGGAAACTCTGTCCCCATTAGCCGCTAACTCTCCATTCTCTCTGCCCCCCAGCCCCCGGCAGCCACCCTTCTCCTCCCTGCCTCGAGGAGTATGACTACTCTAGGTGTCTCGTATCAGTGGGCTCGTGCAGCCTTTATCCTTTTCTGGTTAGCTCATTCCACGTAACAGAGTGGCTTCAAGGTTTCCTCCATGTTGTAGCGTGTGTCCAAATTTTCCTCCTTTTGAAGGCTGAATAAAATTGCATTGTGTGGCTATATCACATTTTGTTGATCCGTTTATCCGTTCATGGACACAGGGTTTATATATATATATATATATAAAGGGATCAGGAGAGAGCTCACTAAGAGTGAGGGTTAAGCAGAGCCCCCAGGAGGCAGAGGGATGCGCGTGACAACCTCTGGGGAGGCACCTGCCAGGCAGCGGAGAGAGCTGGTCTTGAGATCAGAGGTGGGAGCGAGAAGGCAGGTGGGAGCTGATGGTGGCAGATCGCGAGGACCCTGGGGCCCCCAGGAGGCTTCACTGTGTCTTTGAGGAGCGTGGAGGGTCCTGAGCGCAGGGGTGACATGATCTGACTCAGTGTCTCAGATGACTCCTCTGGCCAGGGACCTTAACTCCCCAGTCCTGTGTGGGACTTCCTCCCAGAGAGAACCGTACGGGAAGGGGGCAGAAAGGGACAGTGGAGAAACCCGACAAACAGCAACGCTGACAGCCCTGAGTCCGGTTGGGGGAATGTGCCTGTGATGTGATGAAAACGACACGCGTCCTTCATAGTCTTTCTCCTAAGAAGCCCTAACTCCAGTCTTACCATGAGAAAAACATCAAACAAATTGATGTCAATGGCTTGGTTACGAGCTGCAGAAAGGAATGAAGGGTCTCTTGACAGTTTGGGTGAGAAGGGGAAGCAGGTGAGGAGCCGGACACGGGAGGGCTGTGCATCAGGAGTTCAGTTCTGGGCCAAGTTAAGCTTGAGATGCTGCCTACACATCCACATGGAGAAAAACAGGGAGGTGGTTATGCAACTGGAGTTCAAAGACATTCCAGCTGACGACGCATTATACAGGGGGCCACGAGGGAATGGGTGTGGAGGATGGAGGAGGAGCAGATACGAAGACTGGGCCTCATGGCACAGAGCGACGGGGAGATAAGGAGGAACCTGCAAAGGAGGCTGAGGACTGGTATGGGAGGTAAGTGTGTGGGGTCCTGCGAAGCTGGATTTCACCTCCAAGCCTGGTGCTTTGTTTTGCAGTGAACAACCTGTTCAACAGTACATGCCAGCCCTGTTGGGGAGAAGGGGCATCTCCACACTCCCACGAAGGACATTCCTGGGTGATCTGGTCTCTCTGTACTCAGAGGTCATTCCTGGTTATGTTGCTCACTGACTCTGACCTCGAACCTCAGTTTCCTCCCTAAGCCTCAGTTTCCCCATCTGTAAAGTATGTGAGTCAGACTGGATCAATGGTTTTCAAAGGAAGTCTTACGAGTCAAAGTCAGGTTCCTCAGTGGGATGTGGGGTATAAATAGAGCATCTCTCCTTTTGATGTCTTGACCCTCCATGCAAGGCCCCATTTAGGAAGAGCTTCTGCCACTAAAATACCATTTGAGAGCAACTGGATCAGATCTCCCCTAGTGTCACCCTGGCCCTAACTTGCTCCGATCCTCGGGTACTCTGGTCTAACCTGATTCCCCACTGCAGGTCTTCCCCTTCCCCTGTCCAGCCCAGCCCCTGCCTCTGCCCCTAACCCTCCCCCGACGGAGGCCCCGGGTAAGGGCAGCTGGGGCCCAGCTTCCCTCCTAGCTTCTCAGTGGGGCCCAGGCTGCACCTGTCACTGACCTCTGCAGTTGGCTGGTGGCCAGGAAGCCTGGTCACTGCCATCGCTACAGTTGTCCATGCCCTAGAGGTGGCTTGCCAGGCTCAGGGGCGAGGGTGCACCTGAGTTCCGACAGCAGACATAGGACCACAGCAACCTGGGGTCAAAAGGGGAAGCATGTTATGAGGACCTTGGACCAGCCTGTAACAGCAGGATGAGCGGCCCTATAGTGAGGGAGTGTGGGGGGTGTGGGGAGAAGGCTGTTTCCATGTGCTGCGCACGAGAGCATGAATGGGCATTTCATGGGAGACAGGTGTAAAAACAAGAGGATGACACCGATGTTGACAGCGATGATGGCGGCTAACATTTACTGAGTTCCTATTCCTTGCCAGGCATGGTTCTAAACACTTCCTTCATTGACCTCCCAGTTCATTAAGTTCTCACAATAACCCTCTGGAGTAAGTATTGTTATTAACCCCATTTGAGATGAAAAAACTGGCACAGTGAGGCTAGGTCACTTGACCAAGGCCACACAGCTCACATATAAGTGGCGGAGTAGAAGTTCGGTCCCATGCTCATAAACACTGTGGCGCACAGTGGGTGTGACCATGTGTCCGCGCATGTGTGTGCACGCAGCCTGTAGCATCCCAGTGAACCCAAACACTTCCAAGCAAGCCCTCGCTCCCGGCCTTGCCCCTGGCATCAGCTCTGCCTGGCATTCCCTTCAGACCTCCCCTCGGTAGGCCGTCGCTGCCTCCACGTGAAGACAGCACGCCACCCCTTCCCCAGGACTCCCACCCTCCTGATTGTGATTCGAGTCCCTCTGCAGCACATTCCCCCTGAGCAGAATGAGGATTTACTTGACTATTTGTTTTCAATCTGTCTCCCCAACCAAAACGTCAGCTCAAAGAGGGCAAATATTTCTCCTTTGTTCATTGTCGGAGCCCTAGAGCCTAGAACAGCACCTGGCACGTTGCAGGCACTCAATTCATATTTGATAATGAGTGAATATCCACACAGGTGAAAGAATTATATGACTCAGTGCAAGAGTATGACAGACAGGCTGGCTTGCCCGGCATCCCACTCTGTGAGAAAACCTGGTTCAGGTGGGACTGCCAACCCTGTGGCTCAGAGATGGGCGTGGGCACTGGAGCACTCCCTTTCCTGGCCAGGACAAATCAGATTTGACCCCAGATTTTGCTAGAACCATGAAAAAGGTGCTTGCTCTCTCTTTCATTGAGGCTAGAGCTGTAGGGGTAATTGTGGCCTTGGAGCAGCAGGCTCACCTTGTTGCCAGGTAGAAAGAGGAGCTGCCTGCAATGGAAGCCAAACAGACCCATGCAACGCAAAGAGGGAGGAAGAGAACAAAGAGGCCAAGCCCAGGTGACATTACTTGATCTCCTGGATCCAGCTATACCTGAACCGCACATTAATATCCCAGTTACAGGAGACCCCCAAAATTCTCCTTTGGCATAAGCCAACTTGAGCTGGGTTTCTTTCATTTGCAAATGAAAGCAAATAGTCTAAAACATAAAAGATATTTAGGTGTGAGAGTGGAAGGCCAGGAGAGAGAAAACAAACGGTGGTGTGGTAGTGTATGGGGAGTCATGTGTGACTGTGAACGTAAGACTGTGCACGTGAGCCAAGCAGGGTACACTTGCAGGTATGAGCAACTGAGGCTGTGCATGTAGCCCAAGGGTGTGAAATGAACCTTCATTCAACTGACAAAACTGATCCAAGGAAGCCAGAGTTGCGATAGGGCGTCACCATCACCGCCTTTATTTTGGAGCCCAGTCCTGCTAAACACAGAGCAGCAGCAGCATTCTTGGCCTCCTTGGCTGATAGCTGATCCTCAAGAGGGGAAGGCCACTAGGAGAAATGGAGTGAGGAAAAAGAGGAGGGAGGGAGGGAGGGACAGAGGGACAGAGGGAAGGAGGGGTTGATTTCTAATCAGGCCAGTGAGAGCTGTTTGCAAAACAACCTCATAGGAGCCCTGGCCAAGTAGCTCAGGTGGTTAGAGCATCATCAAGATACATTAAGGTTGTGAGTCCAAATGCCAAGGTTGTGAGTTCAATCCCTGGTCAAGGTACATATAAGAATCAACCAATGAATGTGTGAATAAGTGGAACAACAAATCGATGTTTCTTTCTCTCCCTCTCTCTATCTCTTTATATCTCTGACTCCCTTCCTCTCTCTAAAATCAACAAATAAAAAATTTTTTAAAATTATAGGAAACTACAGGAGCCAGAAAGGGACCCCAAGCACCATGAGTCATGGCCCCAGGGATTTAGCGATTTAGGGTACAAAGTTCATAGTGTTCCTCCCAGATCCAGAGACTAATGGGGAAGGGAGTGAGAATCTAAAATCCAATATTCAGACCATGCACAATTGCAGGAAAGAAGTGCAGGGGGACTTGACTAAAGAGACAAATGGACAGAGTGAGAGCGCCCAACCCCAAGCCCTGTGTTAAAGGGCTGGGTGTCCAGGGCCTGGCATGCCGGGTCTCGTTCTAGGCGAACCTGTATGGGCGCTCAGGGACCCCCGCGTTCTTGTCTGGAAGTGCTCACAATCCCGTGTTTAGTCCAGTCTAGGTTTTTAGCTTGAGATGGCAATAAAGCTTCTGTGTGGTTTTGGAATCTTCTAGACTTTAGCAGCTCATCTGCTCACCACCCCTGGACAGAGCCTCAGCTGTGACTTTGGTGAGTTGTGTCTCCATTCCTGGGGGAACCGGTTGGTGCTGAAGCCCTGAACTCTATTTGAGAGAGAGGACGTACTCCAGCAGTGAAAACCCTGCTGCTTCCTGACCCTCCCCGAGCCTGTCTGGCATCTATAAATATGAGGATAAGAATGCTGGCACAGCAGAGCCGCTGTGAGGAACAGATGAGGCCTGGCACACAAGGGGCCAAAGGCAATGCTTAGTGAGTCATTGGTATTAATATCAGTTCCCTTTCCTTGCCTGAGGGGGTTTCTGTCACTTACAATTATGAGTTAGGACTAGGCCCCTCAGCAATCATCTGAAGGGCTGACCTGGGACAGAGGGGACAGTGCGTGAACGTGAGAGTGTGTGAGTTGTGTGGAAGTGTGCAAGGGGGTACTGTGTCTGTATGAGGTGTGTGCGAAGTAAATTGCGTGTGTGAGGTGCAGTGTGTGAGGTGTGTCGGTTGTGTATCGCCGTGTGGCCGTGCAAGGTGTGGAGCTGTCAGCATGAGTGTATGAGGAGGTGTGACTTGTGCGCGTGTACAGTGTGTGTGAGTGGGTGGGTGGTAGAGTGTAGGTTATGTGTAGCAATGTGTGTGCGCACAGCCATGGAAGCCAGATTTATGGGGTTGGCTTTTGGGTCTGGAATGTCCCTTACTATGACAAACCCTAATCCTGCCACCACTTACCACCTCTCTTCGGAGCCAGTCCCCTTCCTTTTCCAGTGCCCCCTGTGCCCCCTTGGTGGCCGCAGCCCTGCAGTTGCCCCCAGCTTGGATGCTCTGGTCCTGACCAAGAGCCCTAACCCACCCAACCAGAAAGAGGTGACTTTGCCCACGAAGTCCACGCGGGGCTGGCAACCTGTCGTGACCAGACGGTGGCCCAGGAAGTCCCCAGGGGACGCCACCGGGACAGGGGTAGTCGGGGCGCAGAGAGGCGCGCCCAGGGGCCAGGGCGCTGCCGGCGGACCCCAGTAGAACTGCAGGTAGAAGCCGGAAGCGCACGCCTCCGCAGACGCTGGGGTGCAGGCATCCGGCGCGGGGGATGCTGGAGATGGCGAGGTCAGGCTGTAGGCCAGAAGCGGAACTGGAAGCGGATTCTGTCGCTGGGGGTCACCGCCCGCACCCAGAGCCCGCAGTCGGTGTCCGGGGCGACGAAATAGAACCTGCAGCAGCCCGTCCCCCTGCCACGTCTGTCCGCAGAGGTCCACCAGGCCGGCTGCAGCGGAAAAGTACGGGCCCTGAAACCGCGCAGCCTAGTTCCAAGCCTGGCTCTGCCTCCTGCTCGCTGTGTGACCCAAAGTAAGGCACTCACTCTCTCTGAGCCTCACTTTCCACATCAGTAAGGTGGGGATGAGCAAGCAATCTCAGAATTGAGGATTAAATGGTTCAATTTAATTCACCCTGTCCATCTCATTAAAAAATACCAGAAGGTGTTTCAGAAAGTTCCAGATTTTAGAAAGATAACATGATGTGTATACAGGACAAAACAGAAGTAGGTTTACAGTTGTGAGTACACAAAACGGAGTTCATTCTTGTATTATTTATTTTTGTATTATTTTCCATATGAGCAACTGTAAACCTATTGCTACCTATAGACAGCAGTACAGAGTATTGTGTTGGGTTACATTTTCAGAGCAATTGTAAGAACATTTTAAGCAGGACAAATAAAGCCTCCTGTCAGTTCCAGTCAGGTGTTGCCAATAAATTAGTTAAGAACAGATTTTGGTTTTCACAGCTTTTTGTATTTTGGGATCTTGGACATACAGGTAGTTAGTGCTTAAGGCAGTGCCTGACACTTAGTGTTCCTGCAGGGTCAGCTGTTCTCGCTGCCTTATTTAAGGATGGGGTGATACAGTTGGGAACCTGCCCACCCAACAGCCTCTCCCTCTCTTTGCTAAAAGAACCCTGATTTAGCCCTGGCTGGTGTGGCTCAGTGGCCTGAGCGCCAGCCTGCCAGTCACCAGTTTGATTCCCAGCTAGGACACGTGCCTGCGTCGCTAGCATGCGGGCTGGGTCCCCAGATGGGGGCGTGCAAGAGACAACCAATCTGTGTTTCTCTCGCACATGGATATTTCTCTCCCTCTCTTCTTTCCCTCCTCTCTCTCTAAACAATAAATAAATAAATAAATAAATAAATAAATAAATAAATAAACTCTTTTTAAAAATCATTAAAAAAAAACACAAAGCAAATCCCTGGTTTAACCTCAGCTACCAGGGAGCAGCATGCCAGTGTGGGGGATGAGGAGTAGTTAGTGAACTGAGTGAGCACCTTCTATGTGCCAGGTTGTGTAAGTGTCTTGCATGGCTCATCTTGTCTTACTTATGTGCACAACAATAAATTCTCTGTAGGGGCAAGGATCTGATTCCCATTTTACTGCTGAAGAAACTGAGCCTTAGTGAGTTGAAACAACAATCTCAATGGTAGCAATGCTGGAAGAGGCAAAGTGAGCATGTGAACGCAGGGTTTCCACTGCCAGGTCTGAGGGCTCTCCCATCCCTCCCCAGACCCCTGCTTCTGGGTGGCTTTGAGCTCCAGGCTTCCAGAGCGGTTTGGGTAGACTTGGGTGTGCCAGGCAAGACCAGGCATGGGGTTTCCCAGCCTCCCCCAACTCATAGAGGTCCCAGCCCATCAGGGTAAGTGCTGATTGGGGAAACAGTCTCCAAGGGTGGCGGGGTCCAAATCTCCTGCCCACCCCAGCCAAGCCCCTGCACACTCGCCTGTCTCCAGAGCAGACGCAGTCAGGGCAGCTGCCCCCAGCAGGAGCAGCCTTGGGGGCAGCTGCAGAAGAGGGGCCTCCATCCCGGCCTCGCTGGTCACCTCCTCAGACCACGCTTCCCTGAGCACCTCAGTCTGAATTAGTACTCTCCTTCCTTGTCACTCAGTCACATCTCCCCAAATTTGTTATATCAGCACTGACTGGAATTATTCTGCTTAATTAGATCTTGTACATATTGCCTCTTGGTCCCTACTAACATTATATTCCACAACCGATCTTTGAGTCCCTAGGTCATAGCACAGTGTCTGGCATAGGGCAGGTGTCCAGGAAATAAGAATAAACATGCAGCATTGAGCAAACGGCCTCCCTTTATCTGAGTGTAAAAGAAAAGGATTGAACTATTTCAGGCTTTTTCAAAACTTGCTCAAAAGGTTTCTTACATGGAACCTTAATATATAAAACTGAAATTTTTCAACTCTCAGTTTCCTCATCTGAAAAATGAGGTAATGATGGTTCCAACTTCATAGGTAGGTTGTAAGTGTGAAGTAGCAATGTAAATTGGGTAATTAGAATAGTGTCTGTCACATTGTAAAATGCCAATCCATGTTAGGCTGAATGGTGACTCTTTTTTTAAATGTTATTTATTTATTTATTTTTAGAGAGAGGGGAAGGAAGGAAGAAGAAGGAAACATTGATGTGCAAGAGATACATCAATTGGTTGCCCCTCACACGCCTCCAGCTGGCGTCCTGGCCCACAACCCAGGCATGTGCCTTGACTGGGAATCGGACCAGCGGCCTTTCAGTTCACAGGCTGGCACTCAATCCACTGAGCCACACCAGCCAGGGTTGGATGGTAACTCTTAATGTCATCACTATGATTGAAATAGAGGTGCTTCATGTTTCAAGACACCCCAGTAGAAGCCTGTGAGACAACACCTCCAAGTCCCAGGACTCTATGGAAAGGTGAAAATCGCTCATGCCAATGCTCTCTAATGTCTCTCCTTCCTAGAGCTGACAGTCAATGCAACCTTGATGTCTTATTGTATATGATGTCCAAGGCTGGGCTTTGGGCAACTTTCAGAAGACTCAACTCTGCCCTCCATGGGAATGGATTTACCATAAAACTCGTAATGCTTAAGGTTTAGGTTACATTATTTGCATGGGATTATTTATTTATTTCCTTTTTAACTTTTCAAAATATTTTATTGTCATTGGTAATACATTACATTTTTCAAACAAGCAGTGACTAACCCCTAAACCATATCATGAAATCTTTCTTGTGATTTGATTTTAGTAGTGAAGCACAATCAATGCCTCAAGTGATGTTTGAAGTCATCTGGGTAACATCAGAATAATTGATATTTTTTAGTTGTCAAATGACCATAATTACTTATAGTGGAAAAACCTCATGAAAACACAAAAGAAGGAAGTAATGGAAGAACGGAAATAAAAAAGACATAAGACATATAGAAAACAAATAGTAAAATGGCAAATGTAAATCCTACTTTATTAGTAATTACATTAAATGTAAATAAACACTCAATGAATAGGCAGAGACTGACAGAATGGAATTTTGAAAATGATCCATGAGGCCTGGCCGGGTAGCTCAGTTGGTTGGAGCATTGCCCCAATACACCAAGGCTGTGAGTTTGATGCCAGGTCAGGGCATATACAAGAATCAACCAATGAATGCATAAATAAGTGGAACAACAAATCAATGTTTCTCTCTTTCTCCCTTCTCTCTCTCTCTAAAATCAATCAATCAATAAAATTTTTAAGTGATCCATGAAAATGTTGTCTATAAGCAACACACTATAGATTTAAGACACAGTTAAAAGTAAAATGGTAGAAAGAGACATACCATTCAAACAGCAACCAAAAGAGAGCTGGAGTGGCTATACCAATAATAGATTAAAAGAGGCTTTAAGATGAAATTTTACAAGAAACATAGGAAGACATTTTATAATGATAAAGTGGTCAACATATCAAGAAGATATAACAATTATAAACTTATATGTGACTGACAAGAGAGCTCCCAATTCATGAAGCAAAAAATAATCAGAATTTAAGGGAGAAACAGAAAATTCAACAGTAATAACTGGAGACATCAATACCCTACTTTAATAATGGATAAAGTAGCTAAACAGAAGATCACCATGAATGGAGAAGATTTGAATAACATAAGCCAACTTGTCATAACAGACATCTATAGAACATTCAACAAATGCTAAATATACAGTTTCCTCAAGTGAACATGGAATATTCTTGAATATTCTTAGGATAGACCATATATTAAGCCATAAAAGAAGCCTCAAAATTTTAAAAGGATTGAAACCATGCAAAGCATGCTTCCTGATCACAATGAAATGAAATTACAAATCAATAACCAAATACATTTTGGAAAATTCATAAATATTGGAAATGACGACACTCAGAAATAACTAATGGGTCAAAAGAGAAATTACATGGGAAATTAAGAACATCTTTAGATGAATGAAAACAAAACACAACATACTTAATGTATGCAGCAAAAGCAATGGTTAGAGGGAAATTTATAGTTCTAAATACCTATGTTAAAAGAGTAACGCTTTCAACTCAATAATCTACACTTCTACCTTATTAAACTAGAAAACAAAGAAAGAAAACTAAACCCAAAGCTAGCAGAAGGAAGGAAATAATAAACATTACAGCAGAAGTATATGAGAGAATAGAAGAACAATAGAGAAAATTTCAAAACCTGAAATTTGGTTCTTTGAAAGCATCAACAAAACTGACAACATTTAATTAGACTAATAAAAAAAGAAAGAGGACTCAGATAACTAAAACCACAAATAAAAGAGGTGATATTATTACCAACCTTACATAAATAAAAAGGATGTAAAGGAATACTCTAAAAAATTGTATGCTAACAAATAAGATAACCCAGATGAAATGGACGTATCTCTAGAGTGGTCAAGAACATTCAATGAGGAAAGAACAGTTCAGTTCAACAAATGGTGCTAGGTCAATTGGTATCTACATGCAAAAGGAGGAATTTGGTCACCTAACTTATACCATCTACAAAAATTAACTCAAAATGGATCAAAGACCTTAATGTGAGAGCTAAATCTATAAAACTCTTAGAGAAAGTATAGTTATAAATCTTCATGACTTTGACTTAGGCAATAGTTTCTTAGATATGGCACATAAAGCATACTCCACAGAAGAAAACATAAAGTGGGCTTTATAAAATTAAAAACTTTTATATATCAAAGAAGTGAAAAGACTCTCCACAGAATGAAAGAAAATGTTTGTAAATTAAATATCTGCTAAGGGCATCCAGAAAAACACAATTCAATAATAAAAGAAAACCCAATTTTTAAAATGGGCAAAGGTGTTCATTAGATATTTCTCCAAAGAACATATACAAATGACCAAAAAGCACATGAAAAGATCCTCAACATTATTTATCATTTGAAAAGTACAAATCATAACCTTAATGAGAAGCACTTCACACCTACTAGGATGGCTATAATCAGAAAGTTAAACAATAAGAAGTATTGTTGAGGTTCTGAAGAATGTGGACCATTCATATATTGCTGGTGTGAATAAAATGATGAAGCCACTTGGGAAAACAGTATGGAAATTCCTCAAAAGGTTAAAAACAGAGTTATCGTATCACCCAGCAATTTCACTCTGAGACATACATACTCTCAAGAAAATTGGAAACATATATTCACAGAAAAATATGTACAGGAATGTTCAAAGCAACATTATTCATAATAGCTAAGAAACAATTCAATTGTCCACCAACTGCTAAATGGATAAAGAAAATGTGACATGTCCATACAATGGAATATTATCAAACTATAGAAAGAATAAAAATGTTCTACATGCTATGACATGGATGAACCTTAAAGCATGCCAAGCGAATGAAGGCATACACAAAAGGTCCTGTATTGTATGTTTCCATCTATATGAAATTTTCAGCATATGCAAATCAATAGAAACATAAACGAGATTTTTTATTTCCAGAGGCTGTAGGAGGAGGGAATGGGGTGTTACTGCTAATGTGTATGCAATTTCTTTTTTTTATAGTAAAATGTTTATTTATTTATTTTTAAATTTATAAATCATGCTTATTCTGACAGTTATCTCAATTTTTCTCCCTGTACCCCCCTCCACCCATCCCACCCCCACCCCCGCTCCCACAGTCAATTTCGACTCTTGTCCATGTCCGTGGGTCATTCATACATGTTCTTTGTCTAGTCCCTTCCCCTTCTTTCCACCATTGTCCTCTTTCTCCATCCCCTCTGGTCACTTTCAGTCTGCTCCATGTTTCCATGCCTGTGGTTTATTTTGTTCATTAGTTTATTTTGTTGACTAGAGTCCATTTATAGGTGAGATCAATTGATTTTATTTATTTTTTTAATGTCATAGTTAATTATAAAATATTAAAAAATTTAAAACCATTATAAAGTCTCAGCAATTAAACCAACATAACACCAGCACAGAAATAATCAAGTAGATCAATGAAATATAATGAGCATTCTAGAGACAAACGTATATATCTGTCTAACAATGTAATATATGATTAAGTTGATATTTCAAATCAATGGGTGAAATAAGCCTTATTCAACAAATAAGGTGCATGGACCACTATTACTTGAAATATAGAGTCCTATTTCACACATTATACAAGAAATATTCAGGTGAGTTAAAAATCAATATGTGGAATCTAAGGAGTTTTCGGAGAAAATACAAACCCAGAAGCTATAAAGTAAAATGTTGACAATATGGCTATATTAAACATTTCATACTGTATAGTAATATACATATAAAAAAGTTAAAGGACAAGTAATAGAATAGGAAAGTATTTGCAACACATCTAAAAAAAGGTTAATGGTTTGTTTGTTTGTTGTTTTTTAGGGAAAAAATTCTACAAACATTCAATGAAAAAATGGATAAAGAATACCAAAAAGTCATTTAAAGCTTTTTTAAAATGATAGAAATAGGCAAGAAATATACAAAAACAGGTTTAGTTTCACCAAATAATAAAGGAACAACTAAAATAACACATCATTGTCGCAAACAGATTAATACA